ATTCACATATAAATTAATGTGATTCACATATCAACTAATTAATTGATTCATATATGAACTAATTAACTGATTCACATATAAATTAATGTGATTCATATATGAACTAATTAACTGATTTATATATGAACCTGTGTGATTCATATATGAACTAATTAACGGATTCACATATGAACTCGTTTGCCGCTTATTTGTACAAGTTATGAAACTACTCATCTATCTTCCGTATACCCATACGAGAAATTATCAAGTGTTACACAGTCAAAATTGCAAATATCGACCAAATGAAAAGCGATGATCACTTCTTTAGTTCTCAAATGGTTAACACTTCTCAAATGAACTTTTCTCATACCTTATAATATAGTATAGATATACACGCGCCATTGGCTTTGTCTCTAACCTCCACCCACCTCCACCATTGCCTTCGTCCCAAACCCTTCTCCATCACCATCTCCACCCACTTACAACTATTTCCTTCAAAACCCACCTACACACGTATATACACATACAAACAACAACCATTAAACATACACAACACAAAACCATTGTTAAACACACACACTACCATTGTTATACACACACATCACCTTAAATGGCTATAAACCCACAAATTGATCTCCCAAGCCATAAAAATCTTGAAAAAAAAGCAATCCGAAAACAGCGGATGAAGTGTTCTTCGGTTATGGGTGGTTGCAGCTGATGGATAACGTGTTTGAAGGAGGGAAGAGGTGGTTGGTGGTCACCAAAGGGAGAAAGGTGGTGGATGGAGGTGAGGGAGGTGTTCATCTGACGCTGTGTGTATGTGTGGCAGCTGTTTCTGTATTTGTGTAGGTGGGGTTGGGTTATGGTGTGAAGGAAAGTTATGTTGAAAAGTATAAGAAGAGAATTCACCGTTGCATCAACCTTAATTGAATGTCAGCATTAATGAGGTGCACTGAATGCACCAGATTAATTCATTTTTAAAGTATAATTCATGAGTGAGAATGAGATTAAAAGTGATCAAGAGTTCAGATGTTTTCTTATGTTTCTCATAATAATTTATCTTCTCATATGATCCTTTGCCTATGTAGGTATGTGTATAGGTGTATGGGTTAGGTTTCGGTGAGAAGGGGATTTATTATGTTGAAAAGCGTAAGAAGAAATCTTCATCCTTGAATCGATTCTAATTGAATATGAACACTAACCAGATCAATTTACTTCTAAAGCACAATTCATAGGTGGGTACGAGATTAAAAGTGATCAATAGCTCATATCTCTTCTTACGCTTCTCACGCGATCCTTCGTCGTATGTGTATATATACATATGTAGGTGTATGTGTAAATAAACACATGCATATATGTATACAGATAAAAAAATGTGAAAAAAACTAAAATACCCCTTATTTAATTGAGTTAATGGATTTTTCATTCCATTAGTGGCAGGGATTCAGACGTGCGAATGGTACTTTATGAATTATTAAAATGCATCAGCAACAAAACGATACATCTTATTTCTAATTTAATTTTTCTTTGTATGATGTTTTCTTCAGATTTTACGTGGATGAAATCCCAATAAGGGAGATTTTGCGTGACGAGAATATGGGAGGTGACTACCCGTCAAAGCCTATGTCATCGTACGCCACCATATGGGATGCCTCCTCGTGGGCCACCAATGGTGGCCGCCACAAAGTCGACTACCAATTCGAACCCTTTACTTGTGAGTTTCGGGACCTTGTCCTCCAGGGTTGTCCCGTGGACCCCACCGATGCCACCTCAACCAACTGCCTTGATGCCATCGACGAACTTGAATCCTCCGAATTTGCTACCATCACTCCACGGCAGCGTCAAGCCAAGAAGTGGTTCCGAGAAAAGTATATGTACTATAGTTACTGTTATGACCGGCTCAGATATCCTTCTCCACTGCCGGAGTGCCCATTAATTTCTTCTGAACAAGAGTTGTTTAAGAATACTGGAAGGCTAAAGAATCGCCAACGATTTCACCGGAAGCATCGGAGTCGAGGCACACGGCGGCCGCGCAATATGACCGCTGTATATTAGCCCACATATCCAAGGTACTTGTAATCTTGTATAGTCTCACACCTTTAACCTCTTCTGTTATGAAATTTCCTTTTACAAAATACCAATAATGTTACAAAAATATGTGTGAAATCATTAACCTCTAAACCCATGGATTTCTTACCTAACAACTTACCAAGTCTATCATGTTTTGGGTAAGGTTTGAAGGGTTTAATGGTATGGGCAAGACAAGGAGCGGTTGCATGGATACAAGTAAAGTGTAATCGCAAATCAAACCAACATCAGATTAAGAAAAGAAAGAGAAACATAGAAAATTTGTTGATTGTACAGAAAGAATCCCTGCAAACAAATATAATTTTCAAGTATGTTATCACACTATGGAACAAAGGAGAAATCAATCTTAGTAGAAGCCAAGATGCTCAAAGGGAGCATATCTGCTTCAGACCCATACACAAGCTTCGGCTTTTATCTATATGCACACGGTTTGAGGTCAAACTGCAAGGATTATGATCACAATGAGAAGGACGATCCCGACTATCACCAAAAGCAAGCAAGTCTGCATGGAAACAAAGCTATAAAATGAGCATACTTGAAGCTCAAAGAGAACGATAAATAGTTTGAAATGTCCAAAAGCTAATGCAAATTTCCAGATTATGCCAACTAAGTCGAATTATGTAACAACCAAAAAATATTAACAAGGATTTACCATGGAGGAATTTGCCCTTTGGGTTTTGGATGCTTTTGAAAGTTGGACTTTTGCCTGTGCAGTAGCAGCATGAGAATTCTCGATGTTGGAGCCGATGTCATCTGAAGAAGAGCAGCTCCAGTGTCTCACATACACACCATTAAGATGGAAAAAAGAAGTGAGAAAAGAGAAATGAAGTACTTACCGATCATAGCTCCTTGCTCATGAACCAAAACAGCAAGATCTTTGAATATCTCGTTTACCTCACCAATTTGGTTCTGGATATCTTGTATCCCTTGTTCCCTTTCCTCGATAATAGCCTCATTGAATGCAATCTCATTGTCCAACAGCAAAACCTCCTGCCTGCAGACAGAAAAATGAGGGATAAAGGATTGCAACAAGAATGTTTTATAAGGTGAATTATATATAGGAAAAAGAATTAAAACATCAAATAGAGAAAAATATCAAAGATATAAATATAGATGAATCAAGAAATTTATTAAGATCCCATAGTTTGAACCCCAATATCAGATCGTCGACCATCCTTGATTTTTATAACCATGTTGGGAAAATATCAAATATACAAAGTGCAAGTAGAGCTCACCTAGACTCCATAAGAAGGGCATGCTGTTCCTGACCTTTGTTCGAGCTTATATCCATTTCACTGGCTGCATAACTGCACATAAAAGCATAACAAGCAGGACCGCAGTAGCTAGATCAAAACCAGCAAAAGTTTACAAGTTTATTTATGCTTTTGGTCAATTTCCTACACGTATTCACATTTAAAGAAACTTCCAAACCTATTTGCGTAGCTATTAATTGCCCGACAATTTACCTTGATGGGAGAACAGCTTGAGGAACAAAAGGAGTGTAAGCCGTCTCCCTTTCAGCTGCAAGGCGCTGGGCCTTCTGAAATTCTTTTAGAACTGCTTGAAAATCTTTTGCAAGTTTAGCATCTGTAATTTTTTTGCTGGCCTGCATGAAAGCAAAAAACACAAAATAATCCACCGTAAAAAGGGAGAAAATAAAGATGTGTCTTACGATATACATCTAAGTAGAAAGCTTTATAAAGATGAAATTGCCGAAAGTAAATAAGAATGGTCGACTGCATAGTTAATAAATTTAGACAAATGATTTCTTATCTGTCTTAGAACTTTGGATCCTTCTCACATCAATAACCTGACCCTTATCGCGTATAGGTAGTTTTAGACAAGTTTCTTATGAAGTATATACCTGCATGCCTATATAGTTCGTAACAATCCATCTTCCGTGGCATATGATAATTCTTTCTCCATTTTGGAACATTCATTTACCTACTAAAATATCATGTGTTTCCAGCCAAGATCCCAGCACTACAGTTCCATTTGTGTCCAAATTTCCGAGTAGATGGGTTTCTAAATGTGGTATTCAGAAATACCCAGAGTGCACATTTCCGTGTTAAGACAAAGGAAAGATATATTTTGCTATAATCACTTACTATGCATAAAATTATCAATCCAAGAATCACATGCTATGAAGCCGGAAGCATTCAAATGTATTCCAACTAGCAAGTGTATGCACATAAAACAATAATCATGAAGCAACCTACAAACCCACTGTAATCAATCTCGTGAGTCCACATGTGGCTATGGAAACTTCTTGAACTATGAACAAGAAACCAACAAAAGCAACAAACTGAAAGTTTGACAACTTATGAAACAGAAACCAAATCAAATCTTTTCTCCTCTTTAAAGTCAAGAAATGGTTAAGAGTAAAGCAAAGAAAGCAACAGATATGTACATCCGATGATACAAATGGGTTATAGTTAAAACCATATTACAAACACAAAAGCTACAACATTATCATTAACCATTAAAAGAATTCAAAACCATGAAAAGGAACTTACGCTTACTTGGGCGCGGTGATCTGCCTCACTGGCTTGCTTGAGTTTATCTGAAGTATCCTTCACCAATTGCCCAATATGTAGTCTTGTTTTATGCCTATTAGTTAAGTAAACAAAACCAGCAAAAGGAGAATCATCAATAATTAATAACAATTAAATACCATCTAAACAAATTGATAGCGATTAACGTTTTCTTTGGTTTAAACATTAATAGCAGCTAATCTGTTCATCAAAAAAGGTATTAGGAGCAACTCCATGAATGCCTTTGAATTCTATAACCATTTCAGTCCATAACTTACATGTTCTCTTTGCAATTGCAATTCAGAGGTGGTTCGATTCAATTACCAAATTGTACCAATAATTATTCACCAGAAAGATAATTCAGAGAAATTATATAACAAAAACAAAGCGTTTTAGAACAAATCCAATTACCAACACTGAGAAGACGATGATGGAAGATAAGATTATAGAAGAAGACGTACAGCTTTTCTCGAAGCTCAGGGGTATCTTTAGGTGTACCAAGGGTATTGACTAGGCGCTGAAACGTAGAGACGGCGGTATTGATCTGAAAGATTCCGGAAGCAATAGCTTGGGTGGGATCTTGTTGCCTTCCGCCATTGGTGTATCCAACTCGTTTTGAATTGAGCGGTCGACCCGCTTCAAGATCTTGAAAGCTCATCTTATCCCTCAAATAAACCCTAAAATTTAATTGACGAATCAGATGAAACCCTATCGATCGAGGAGGGTCTCGATCGGAAGGGGTGAGAAATACGGGAGTTTTTGACGATCGAAGCGTGGGTTGATTGTTGAAGACACGAAGAGGGCGGAAATTTGGGAGAGAATCGAGGCAAAAGCAAATGATTTTAGAAGGGGGAGTTGGTTGTATGTATTTTGACGCCGGCGCGTGAAGGTCAAACCGAAAGGGACACGTCAATAGTGCCTGCCCAAGAGATAACACTGGTTATTTGGTAGGACGAATGGTGTAAAACATAATGTATGTTAGGAGTAAACTACATTTTTGGTCCTTGTGATTTACACGTCATCGAAAGTGGTCTTTAGAATTCAATAATTTCAATTATCGTCCATATTGTTTACATTTTACATTGAAAATCGTCTCTCAACTTGACTACGTTAATTTTTTTCCGTTAAGTTAGGGTTATTTTTGTCTTTTTACCTTTGTGGGGACAAGTTATGCAATTTTGTTTGAACTACAGGGACCAAATTGTAATTTACTCTCTCTCTCTCTCTCTCTATATATATATATATATGTACACACACATCTGCAACCAAGACATCGGTTGTCTACGATGACCAACGTCGTCTCCTTTGACCATTGAACCCCCATCTGTGAGCACGGTGAACCGCCACTCTCTCTTTCTTTGTGTTTTTGTTCCCATTGGCCATCACCCATCTCCCTCCCCTTCCATCTCTGTCCCAAACAAACACTCCGGCGACAGGTGAGGATGCCATCTCCAGCATCACCCAGTTCGTCCCTATGAACCCCTTACTACCAATCTCCCTTCTCCCATATTCACTATTGACCACCATCTCCATCGACACTCTCCTTGATCTCTCCCTCAAACACCCTCATCGATCACCAACCTCATCTATTGCTGTGATTTCCAGAAAGAAAAACACTCAAAGCAATCCATCACCAACCTCTTCACATGTGGAGGAAGAAGACAGTCAAAACAATTGAGGATGCAAAGCAAAGTCGATCTCTCTTCCTCTTCATCTTTGATTTTTGTTTCGATTAGTTTTTTATTTTTTTATTAGGTTTGATTTTGATTGGTTTTAAATTTGGGTTTTAGGTGTGATTTAGGTTGGGTTTTGCTTCGGTTTTAATTTAGGTCGGACAAGATGACCGGATGAGGTCACGAAAGTGGTAGATGTCGGAGAAGGCCACCAATTTTTGGTCCCTATGGTGGTTGGAAGTGAGGGATTTACACAACTAAAAATTCAAAAACAATAAAATGATAAAAACAATAAAAAGACATAAATAAATGAAAAAGTACAAAAGTACCCTTTACTTAACTGGGTTTTTGATGGAGTAAGTGATCATGGACAATTTTAGCGCAAAATGTAAACAGTAGGGATGATAATTATAGTTATTGAAGTTTATGGATCACTTTTGATGATTCTTATAAACCATAGGACCATAAATGTAGTTTACTCTATATTTTAAACTAAACTAAGGTGGCGTTTATTTTTTAAGATGTGTTTGAAGTCTGATTTCACTTCTGATTTATAAGAGGTGGTTCTGAAGTGTGGAATCTGGATCAGTAAGATTGTTTGTTCTTATGTCTGAAGTCTAAAATTTGAATCAGTCAAATTAGTGCAAAAAATATAAAAGATAAATAGTTTCTTACAAAAGTATAAAAGATGAATAGTTTTTGCTAACAAATTTCTTTGAACCCTCAAAATATGAACCATGTGATAGAGGGCGAATTAGGATTAGCAGGTATTAAGGGATACATTTATCATTTAAAATTTTAGAGGGCATTTAGAGCTTTTGATCTTTTATTTTAAAAATAAAACAAACGCTCTTAATACCCAAACGTCTGAACGAATCAAACTTCGGATGTATTAAGAGGTAATTTTGAAAAAACAAGAAGCCCTAATATTAGTAGTAACAATTAATTTTTATTTTTATTTATTAATAATTATTTGTACTTACAATTACAAATAAATTAAAAAAAAATGAGGGCTATAATAGAAAAAGGTGACAAAAACCTTCTCTAAACTATTTCAACTAGCGTTTCAATAAGTTAGTTTATATCAATCCAAACATGTATCCATACAATAAGTGAGCTTTTAAGCTTGCTTATCTTTTGCACCAAATAATTCCAAATAAACAAGTTTTTCGTAATTGGTTATTTTATGCAAATGACAAAAGTCTACAAAATTTAATTGTCTAAACTTTAGTTAAGTAGTTTAATTTAATACTTTCACTATCACAAATTTGGTTTTATAGGACGTTTATATGTCTAAACGTCCTAATAAAATACTTTATATGACTTAAGTTTATAGGGGCAAACTATAAAACGTCATATTTAAAAGTGTTACAATGAGTTTATCTGATGTTTTTGAACGTTTTAACAAGTTTTTTTTAAGATGTTTTTTAAATAAAATGTCTTATTAGTTATTTTAATAAGACAATTTCATAAACCCATATTTTTACAGGGCAATTTTGTTTGTAAGACATTTTTTTCAAATATTATCGTATAAATTAGCTAATACAAAACTTTATTTACAAAACGTCATAAAAAATTTGTTGAAACGCCTAAAAAAGTCATATTGTGGATTCTCAATAAGATCAAATTTTTATTGCATGATGGACTCCCCTGGAAAACATTGGTGCGCATGTGAACGAAGTGCTCTACCAACTGAGCTATAGCTCTTAGTGCTTGTAATACATATTTCATTATGTAGATAATTTCTTGTCAATAGGAATATTCTCAAGATGACTATTCCATGATCCAAGATCATATTGATCGGTATTGCTTCTAAGTAATATCATATTTATAATTCATCGATGGGATGAATCCCGTTTAGTTTTCTTTGTGAGGATAAATGACCTAGGGGGACCACTATGTAAAAAACGAGAGAAACCCTATCTCTCTCTTTTCTTTTTTCGCCACCATGTCGCCACACAGATAACATGAGAACGTAAAAAGGGGGATCCTATCAACTTGTTCCGACCCAATATGGAATTGATTAACAATATTGTCAAAGCTCACGGAGGCATATCCGTATTTGGAGGAGTCGGTGAACGGACTCGTGAAGAAAATGATCTTCACATGGAAATGAAAGAATTTGGAGTAATTAATGAACAAAATATTGCAGAACCAAAAGTGACTCTAGTTTACGGTCAGATGAATGAACCATCGGGAGCTCGTATGAGAGTTGGTTTGACTGTCCTAACTATGGCGGAAGGTCCTGGATAACAAGTCCAAAGACCTTGATGATATCGATATTGAGATTGTGACACTTTTAGACATGCCATTTTTTGGTTTTGGTCCTATAAACTTACGTGCAATAAAGTTTTTTATTAGGATGCTTAAGCATTTAAGTTTAGGTGTCCTATAAAACCAAATTTGTAGCAGTGGCTGTAATTAAATAAAGTTGCTTAAATGTAACTGTAAATAATGAAAAATTATAATTTGTTTGAATTTTAATAGCTATACATATGGAAAAATATTCAACAAAAGGATAGTTTTTAAGATGATTTTGCAAACAACAAACCCCATGACTTTGTTACATTATTTTCAGCTCCCTCTACATCAATATTCTAGCTTTGCTTCTGCGTGCACGCACGTGCGCATGCACACACACAGTGTTAGTCTGTTAGGTTTAAATGAGATACATAAAAATGTTAAGAATTGGAGAAACAATCTCGAGCACTTGTTCAAATTTTTGATTTCAACGTATTTTTTTTTCACTAATTAAGATGACTATTGAAAAGAAATCAAATATCCTAATTTATCTCATATTTTTTCTATAAAAATCTACGAATCGAATTAAACATCGTTTGCCTAAATCTCATATGTGGATACGAACATTGATGTTTTTCATTGGTCAATGTAACCAAACACAAAAGATACTAACAAACTATTATCATATGGTAATATTTAGGTGCATATATGAATCTTAACATAGATTCACATTTGAATCTTAATATAGATTCACATATGAATTTTAATCATAACGGGTAACTGAACCAGTTTAGAATTTATAACCGAGATTATAAATTAGTTTGAGATTCATATATGAACATGTGAATCTAATAGTGCTTTATTGGTATCTATTATACAAATGTTTCAAAATGCCTACAACTTTCTTATATTTCTCCTTTGAACCCTCCCCATTATTATTATTATTATTATTATTATTATTATTAGAGAGAGGGGGTTGGATTGTAAACCGTCTATTTCATGCAAACTATAGAAACCATCATCAACCAATAGAATAATTCAATGTTTTTCTCTTTATTTTTAATGAATAAGGGTATGCATGTCATTTTACTTTGTATTGGTTAATCTTGGTAATATTTTAATTATTTTTAAATATGAAAAATTAAATATAATAACTGTTTTTAAGGAAGCTATAAATCAATTTATTTTAATATATAATATTATCATTAATATTTTATATTCTTTTATTAATTTAAAAATACTACATCAATTACACAGTCTATTGGTAATGATTTATTTCTTATGAAATCACAAGTAGTTACTGATTTATTAATAATAGAGTTGTGATATTTTCCAGATTTTGAATATATTGTTTTGTTTTTATTCGTAAAACAAATGTTATTAATGAAACCATGTTATATAGTTTTCAAAATGTTTCAAAAACGAACTAATTTCATTTTTATTAGGAGCCACAAAACTATTTTCATCAATGAAATAATAGTATTCAGGTCTTGAAATGTTTCATTGATTGAACCACATTTGGTTTCATTAATAAAACCAATTTCATCTTGGCTATAAATCATGAAAACGATTTCATTTTGGTTAGGAAACATGAAACAAATTTAAAAATAAATGAAATATTATTATTCAGTTCTTGAAGTGTTTCGTTGACTGAACAATACTTAGTTTCATATGTAAAACCGAGTTCATCTTGGTTGGAAACCATGAAACCGATTCCATTTTGGTTAATAAACATTTCAACAATTTTCACTGCTGAAACAATGTCATTCAGTTTTTGGAATTGTGGAGTCTATAAAACCAATTTCAATGATGAAACAAATTTCCTTAATGAAAACATGTTATTCAGATTTTTGGAAAATGTTTTATTGACTAAATCATATCTGGCTCAAATTTCATTATACATACGAACATTGAAACTAATTTCACTGTTGATGTATTCTCATCATGAATCAAACTGGTATGAAACAAGTTTTGGATCGGTATGAAACTGGTTTCAGATTACGTCAATCTGTTTTATTAACCAGTCCAGTCTCAAATAATATATTTTGTCAAGTTGTCTGTAAAAAAATGTTTTTTTAGGAACACGATATTGGAAGAGAGCAGCGAAGAACAATAAATTGACAATGATACGGCGGAGACAGAGTGAGAAGAAGCAACAACGCGAGAGGGAGGAGAGGAAGGGTGTTCGCAGTACAATCTGGGTGGTTTAACCCCCAAACGACAAAGTAAATCGCAATGTCGGTTAATAAAATTTTCTAAATTTAGCGGTTTGGCACTTGCTTAAATCGGACCACAAGAAGGAAAAAAAAAATCTGGTCTAACATGTTTAAGCGGTTTGAGTCTATTATGGACTTTAAACTAAAAAAGAAAAACATAACATATATCTCTAAAATAAATTTTATACTAATATAACATTATTAAAAAACACTACATCCAATTATTAAAGAAACATCTATCTCCAAAATAGAAAAAACATTGAAAAGCTTGAAAGACAAATTGAAATTTTGGATTTTGATTTATATCAGATTTGAGAGTTATATCAATTTAGGAACGCGGACAATTGAGGATGAAAACTAAAAATTTAATGCCTTTGACAAACTTTTTTGAAGTGAGGCATGAAAGTTGAGCTTAATACATGTGTATTTTGCCAGTCGGTTCCAAACCATTAAGAAACTTTCAAACCACATATTGAATCGGATTCGGCGGTCTGGTTATTTTCAAATCGAACTAGACCGTCAAATTGTTCAAACCGTCAAAAACGGTCCGGTTTAACTTTGTTCAAGCAGTTTCAGTGGCCTATTGGTTTTTATGAAAACCCCTAGAGGAGAGAAGGAAGACGTTTGGTTTTGACTTTTGAGTTCATCCACTAATTTCTATTTGTTTTTAAATTAACAATGATAAGGCACCCTAAATGTCCACCTAATAAAATTTTCATTTATGATTTTAGACGTCATAATAAAGTAGCCAAGTTAGAGGTTACCTACTGAACCGATTAAATAAACCTTTAAACAAACAAAAAGTTTGCTTTAAACCCTTACATGATGATTTTAAAAGCTGGTTATCCAAAATATAAAGAAAGTCAAAGTCCGACACAAAATTTCCTTTATTTAAAAGAATTTTTTAATTAAGTTAGTTAGAGGGACGAAAACTGTTACAAACTAAAAATCAAGGTGACCAAAATCATAATAAATGAAGATTAGGGACGAAAACAATTTTTTTAACAAACTATAGGGACCAAAACCGTAATTTACTCTAAATAAAATGATAGGAAAATCCCATTGCACCGTTCTTTCCGTTTCAATTCAATACGTTTTCAAAACCCTCTCTCAAACACACTCCGACGCTGAATCGCTAGGTTTTCGGCTACCGTTTCGTGTTTATCGCCGTTCCTCCGGTAACCGGTTCTTCAGTCCGAGTTTCCTCGTTGATATCTGACTTTTATACTACAGTATTTGCAATGTCGGTAAGTGTTCATCGTACCTGGTCTTGGTTGATGCGTTGTGATTACTATCAGTGCCCTGACTCAATTTTTATGATTCATAAATTTTATTGAAATGCATAGATCTATTTAAGTTAAAAAGTTTTTCTTGAAGCATGTGAAACCCTACAGATTAGTCGAGTTGAGTCGAGATTGTTGAGAGTTTGAAATTTTTTGATGATTAAAGAGCTATTGTCTTCATAAGAAGACTGTGTATATTTAAAATTTTAAGTGTTTGATGTTATTTAATGCTATTCCTTCTGAAAATATGCGAGTTTTTTTCGACCGAAAGAATTAAGAAAATATTTTACTGATACGATGATCATTCCATAATCCAAGTCGCTATTCATATATTTTTAATAAGGACCTAGGCTAATTCTTTTACTGCTACAACTAGATAATCGCATTTGGACATATTTTATAGAAGATAGCGGTGCATCTTTGCGTTTTTTTAATTGAACGCCTTTTGGAATATTCATCCAGACTGAGAAGTTGATTATCATTTTCAAAATGGTGTGATAAAAACAAATAAGAAGTGAATAAACAAGATAAAAAAATCATGTTGGTCATTCATCTGCGACAAGGATAAAAAAAACAAAGGCCCAGCTAATTTGGGATGGAGGGAATATTGTTTAATCAGTAATGAACATTAAGGGGAGACTTCGTGTTTTTGTGGGACCTGAAGAGGAGGTTCGACTTGTTCGCCGCGGAATGATGATCTCTAAAATCTTGGTTGGGAGGAGGTTCAATCAAGACGAATCAACTGTTTTGGTGTTCTCTTATTGGATCTTGTTGGTATATAATACTACTCAATATTAACTCTCAAATAGGTCAATAATATGCCTAGTAGTTACGCAACATTTATCTAGGATTTTGAAAATAGCCCAGAAAGGAGGAATTCATCAAATGTTTCCATCTATTAAGAAATCTCAAAGATTTGGTTTATCAGGATGCTTGATTACACTGGGTGCCAGATGATTTTACCAAAATTATCATTAAGTTCATGTGTTTGAATTTAAGTAGGGTTCCTCGGAAACCTACTTCTCAAATGTTTTTGCTTACGAGTACTCCTTGTTATCAATGCCATGCTATTTGACAATTTTCTTGTGAGTGGATCATCTGCTGATACGTGACACAGTCGTAATTAGGGTTGTCATTAGTGTGGAAGTATATTACCATAGTTTTAGCGCCCTTAAAATGACTTCCCTTATATGGCTGTTTGATATATATATATATATATATATATATATCTTTTAGCATGATGTGATATCCATAATAGCATGTCTTTATACTGCTCTTAAATGCTTGTGATTCTTAGGCGCTTCAAGTCTTAGATTGCTGTTTGTGGGGGTCTAGGGAGGTGATGTAGAGATCCTTCAGTCTATTATAGATCTGCTCAACATCATTTTTGAAATATATTACTGGTAGCAAAATTCAAGAAGCATTCTCATCCTGGCTTCTCATTGGCCTTGACTTGGAGAGGCTTGTGGAATCGTGGAGGAACAAGGAAATTCTTGATTTGCAGTAAATAATCGAGTTTTTAAACTTTATTAGAGATTTAGAGGTGTATGAAAGAACAAATAGATTCTTAACTTGTAGTAATTTTTTTGTATTTCTAATTTTGGAAAAAGTTTGGCGTTATTTCTAATGCAATTCTGACACATACATTTTATTAGTGGTTTTCATGCAGAAACAATAGATAGGCTTTCATAACAGAAAGCAGACAAATAGAGGCTTCATGTCTTTCTAAACTATTAGCAGGAGTAGAAACTGCGGCAGTTAAGAAATTTTTTGAATAACTTAAGAAGTTAATTTTATTTGTGTCAACTGATGTATTTGTGTTTTCATGTGGCAGCATAAACTATTTTCTTGAAGTTTCTGTACATTCTCGTTTATCAAATGCATGATCTTAAGTTAAGGGCCCACATGGATAACATATATAACATGGGCACCAAAGCATTTGGAACATATAAAAATAAGGCATTAGAAATTTTGGGTCTTGTTAGTTATTTACCTGATGCCTGACATTGATTGTATTTTCTAACAATTTTATCTGTCATTCTTTCAGGTAAAAACTGTTAAAGTTAGCAATCTCTCTTTAGGGGCTTCTCAGCGGGACGTAAGGGAGTTTTTTTCCTTTTCCGGAGATGTTGTATATGTTGAGGTGCAAAGGTTAGTATCATAGTATGCAATGTAATCTCCAGTTTCTGTCTTTTTCTTTATTTGCTATTAACATGGATTTTAATGTATATTTGCAGTAATGATGAACGTTCCCAAAACGCATTTGTCACCTTCACAGATTCACAAGGAACAGAGACTGCTGTTCTTCTTTCGGTAAGTGACTTTTAGTTGGGGAGATGGTCTTTTCTCTGCCTTTCATACAATACCACATTGGCTAGAAAGCTAAAGAAGCAACTGAGTGAAATGGTGTAGTATCATGTCTTTTGCTGGTTTCCATTCACCATTTATCTTTAGATTCCAATCATCGTCAACATCCATAATTTGTTCCCTCTTTTGCAACCATGCTATTTTTTTCTTCTTGTTTCGTTCAAGATGACTATACATCCATGGTGTAAAAGCAAATAAAACTGTCACCAGATAGTAATACTGCCAACCAGAAAGCTTCTAATTAGCAGAATGATGTCTGCGTTAGGGTTACCTGATTACGTATCACATGACACATATTATCAAATGATCATTGAGCCCATCGTGCATTTAGATCGGTCGTATTAGGCCCCATTCTCTTGGTGGTTATACCTTGGAGGTCATAGGTTCAACCCCCTTCCTCTTTGTATTCTCAAAGAAAAAAAATGCTCATCGAGTATAGACCAAGACAGATGATTATGGTCTAGTGAAAATGGTTTGACATCCATGCATGAGGTGTGTCATCATCCACCTTAACCTTTTCCAAATCTTTCAAAAAGAATTGATGCCTCTTTTCTAGATCTTTCAAAAAGTATTCATCCTTCTGATTGTTTTTTGGCTGTTACCATTATTTGTGTTGTGAGCTTTTTACTACTGTTTCCCTTCTATTCCACAATTTCTCTTGGCGACTCACATGCCTGTAGGAGAAATCTCGGAGAATGAGGGTATTACAATTTCAAAGGCCATTCGAATCGGTTTATATGTACACTTTGATTAATATTTAATAGGAATTATAGAATTAGGCTAATATGCTATATATGTAGGATGAATACAATTATGAGTGTATAATAAAATGAGAAAAGTTCACTTGGCATTTTGTTATAACCCTAATACTAGCTGCACAAGTGAGGTGTGAGTAGTACCGGGTTGTCCTAGAAGGTTCCAGAGGTAGTTGGGGGGGATTTTGCTTAGCTTATGTGAAGGAATATAAATAACAAAGGGGATTTAAGGAAAGTCCATGATACCTCCGGTAGCTTATTAAATTGACAAATGGAAGGCAATTTTAGAAAGTCCAGATTGATGTCGATTCACTCAAGGAAGATATTCAAACCGTCATGAAGATGAAAGGCTGATTAAGATAACAAAGAAGAAAAATGGAGGGGCTGAATGGAGTCGATCTTTTAAGTTTGCAGGTCTTAAACTAGAGCTTCCACTTCTACACTAGCAACCCAATGTCTGAATTTTACAAGCCTAAAAATATTTTTCCTCGAAATGTTTGAATAATGAAGAACAAGTGGAGGCAGCTGCCAGTGCATTTAAGGGATTGCCTCACTATGGTTTCTACGGAAGCACCGAAGGAGAACTGTTACTTGTTGGGAGGATTTGAAATGGATGATCCTTCGTCAATTCCTCTCTATACCCAACCATTCATCTGGTGACCAGTTTTTAGAACACGGTGCAATCATCCAGAGGGACAATATGGAGAATTCGAAGAGAGAGAAAGGAGAAAATATAGAGAGAGAAGCTACATAAAGTAAGGATTGACACCTTAGGGAGAAGAGCAGTTTAATCGGCAACCATCTCACTCCGTTGCCACTTTTATCACTACCCTTTTCGACATCATCGCTGTCGTCGAGACCCTCTCTCCTCCATCATCGCCGCCATGGAGACTCACTTGGCCATCATCGCCCCTGGTGTTATGGACGCTGGAACCTTAGTTCTTGCAATTTTATCTATCGAGGATTGGAACCAAGGCCACAAAAAAAAAGGTATCAATTGAGCCTATTCTTGAATAGAATAAAAGAACTGGTATAACAACAAGGCCTAATTTAGTGGTTTTGTCACTGCCCAAGCCCAATCCTGTTATGGTAATTCGGCCCATGCTCAACCGTGTTATGTTTACGCGACCCAAGCCCAATTCTCTCAAGGTTGTGCCAAACTTAATACGGACCCTTATCTTCTCGACAGACTTCGTATTGTTATCGGCTATTTAGAGAGCTTGGTTGGGAGATGATTATTGGAAAGACATAAACTACCGCTGCCTCCGCTACCACCACCACCATTGCCAATGCCGTGATGGCCACAACAACGCTCAATTGAAGTATATAGGCATACAATTTTTTGAGTTACACGTCCTCTGACCGGCAGATTCCTCGGTTCTCTTACATCTTTACCAACCACCAAATTTAGGTCCATAGCCATTAACTGCGATCTACAAAAAGAAAATGTTGATTCATCGCTTGGAGGAGGTTTATTTTGGAAAAATTATCGGTGGCAATTTGGGATAGGATTCCTTCCAACTGTCTAACCATGGTTGTTGGGTTGAGAGCAAGTTTGGACAAGAAAAGTTGGATGAATCTACAAGTTGGTAGAAATCCAAGAGTGGCAGGCTCAGTGAAGTCAAAAATTCTCTTGACTTCGACTTTAGCATTGAAAAGCAACAATGAAGTTGGCTTGAAGCTTGTATGGAAAGGTTTGTCTTCGGTTGCAATCGGTTGGGAAGAGGTAGTAACATGCCAACAACAAATTCTTTATTTTTTCTTCCCACCTTGAGTACAAAGTGGAAGTTTAGGGGGCAGGTATTGTTAAATCTCTGATATTAACTGTGCAAGTGAGGTGTGAGTAGTACATGCTCATTCGAGAAGGTTCCAAAGGTAGTTGGGGGAAGGGTTAATTTGGGTGGGAGATTCTGTTTAGCTTATGTTAAGGAGTATAAATAAGAAAGGGCAAGGCCTAAGGGGTATCTGATACCATGGTTATTCTGTGACTAAAGTCAGGGAGGGCGCCTCTCGAAAGCCGGTTCACCCTTGTATTTTACATCGCATTTTTGTTATTCATTTCAATCATCAGAGTAGAGGAGTAACTCTTTGAAATTCTAGCTGTGAAATTCTAGCCAATTTGTATCACATATCTAGCAGCTTTTCTCGGCATAAGATGGATTACTCTAAGAAGGTCATACTCGCCACCCCCCCCCTCCAAAAAAAAGTTCCACCAACTATTGTAATCACGAGAATTTCTATTGACTTCTTAAGAGATCACATTTCTTTCTACCATAGTGCTCAAGTTAATTGAGTAATAGATGATCACATTTCTTTCTACCATAATGTTCAAGTTAATTGAGTAATAAACCACAAGGGTGGTGCATGATTGGTTTGAGCTTGGCTCCAAAGGTCAAAAGTACCAGGAGGTCCCAGTTTCAAATCCAAGGAGGAATAAAAATCCCCTTGTGACCACTGAGGTTCAAATGCGGTGATTCCGGGCTATTTGCAAAGCAGGTGGTCGCCTTGGGATTAGTCGGCTCGCATAGCAGGTTGGATATCCAGGTTAATAAAAAAAAATTAATTGAGTAATAGATGATCAACATTTACAGATTTACCTAGGAACTACTTACATCAATGAGCCTCTTATCCCTAACTAGTTGGGCAAGCCTTCCTTCTACTTTTGAATGGAAATAGCCTAAATACATGCCTGGCTAACAGGGCCTGCCGCACAACCCTTTTCCTTTATCTAGACCGGGGACTGTCGATGTTGGAATACATAGGCAAAGTTTCTCATACAATTATGTCGATAAATGTAATTCTTAAAGGTTTATAAGCACTTTGCAGCACCTGAATACACACAAGGAAGAAGTCAGAGTCGACTATACAATCTTGTAGATCTTTTCTTTTGTGAAAAGCTAGTAATTCATACAGCGCTATTGAGGCACAACCTCAACAGGGTGGGTAATACAGTGTGCATAAATTATATTCCTAGTTTTATACACTCCTATATATTGATCTAGTGAGAAGACAGTAACTGTGAAAATACATGAGAATATACTTTCGGAGCTAACTTGTGCCGTGCTTTGTATTTTTCTTTTTTCCAATTGGCTCACGAAATCTTGCAGCTATTTGTAAACCTAGCCAAAGTTGTTAAAGGCTCAAGGCACACTTAGGCTCAAAAGGGGTCCCAAGGCCTAGGCCCGAGGCACCACACATCTTATCAATATATTCACGCACACAGTTACACTGAACTCACATAGCATTATATAAAACATATTTCAACTTTCAAATAGCATTAATATCAAGCATAGCTCAATAATGTCCTGACTAGCAGTCACTCATCATCATCATCAAGTGTGTATTCTTCAACGTCCTCATCGAATTTGTACTCCCCAATATCTTCTTCTTTGTCACTCTTCTTTAATAATTCAACTTCATCATCTTCTTCTTTGAGTTCATATCTTGAACTAGAAGTAGCCTTTCCCCTTCCCCTTCCTCATCGGATGATAAGTCTTTTTTGTAAAAGTCTAAGGAGATGAGTAGATCTCTTTAAGAGTCTTCTTGTTAAAGCACATAATTTGAGTCTGATCTATGAGGCACGCCTAGGCCCAAAAGACGCCTCAGCTAAGGCGCAGCGCCTTAGCTTGCCTTGTGAATGCGTCTCGCCTCAACCATTAAAAACCAATCTCTTGTGCCTTATGCGCCTCAGTGCCTGAGGCACACTTTTAACAACTGCGCACCTAGCTCGAAACCATTGAAGAGCTTAATAATCTAACAAGCTGCTAAATGAAGTTGACCCTGGCCTTCGAGACATCTGCTACAGCACTACTTAATTTTTATGGCAAAAGGGAATACATTTCATTGCTCATGAAAGTTGAATACAGCTGATACAATTCGTCCCAACAAAGGGGTAGATATGAGCTTAATAGAACTGAAACAACACCAATCTGAATTTGATTCGATGAGGTGGGGTGCCATCTAAACCTGACCCCTAAACTTGTTCAATTGTTGAGTACAGTTGATGAAAGAAGGAAATTGCTTGATTGCCTTTGTGAATTCATACCACTAGAAATAACATATTTAAACCAGGGTCGGATGCAAATGACAATGGATGGTACTCCCACATTTATATGATAGACGTCACAAGACTGAATTCAAACCTTTTGTCTAGAAATGGAAGAAACACCTTTCTATGATCTAATGGCAAGACTGAATCATGATGTGTTGGGCCAAGGTGGGATAACTGAATACACAGTTGGATCCAAAGTCTTGACACAGAATCAGATGGCCAAAGACCATTGAGCCCCGACCGCAAGAGTTGACAACTCAACTACGATTAAGTGCCTGAGAAACAAGCCTTTGCGAGAAAAAAGACGGCAGGATTGGAAACCATAACCCCAGTGTTGGTTTGAGTTGCAATACCAAAAAAGTTAGGCCTTGTACCTCCCAATGAAGTACTGTTATTTATCTGACAGAATCGCTATCTTGGGGCCAGAACGAAACCCTTGTGTTGGTTGTGCTTTGGTGCTGGAGTTTGGACAGGTTAGAATGGCCATGGAAATTGGTAACTGATCTGGTCGGTGATAACTGATGCAATTCGGTGGTAACCGTTGGCATCTTGGCTGAACTGTTGTTCAGAGGTGAGCAGCAGTTAAATTTGACGTTGAATAGGTGATTGGTGGTGGTGATTAGGGAACGACACTTGGAGGCTGTGGCCTGCTGATTGAAAAGGTGAGGCCGGTTGATGGTGGTCTGAGACAGTGGCCGGTAGGGATCCATGGCTGATTGAAGTCTTGGCCATTGATTGTTGATGGTTTATTTGGTGTGGATGGAGGGATCCATATGGATCCCTTCAGACCATGGACTTTGTTGAATTCATATATAATTGTAGATGGATATATACCTCTAAATTGTTGAATTCCTATATATAATTAACATAATTTGTTGCTTTAATTATAAGATTTGAGGGTTTTTTTAATATACATTTGGTCTTCGACTTTTTTCAACTTATCTCTTATTGTAGGCTTGCTATATGTAATAAAAGCAACTTCACTCAATTTAATCATCTGGGCTTGCTACATTTTGTAATATCAGGGAGCAACAATAGGCGATATGACCATCACTGTAACCCTAGCACCAGACTACCAGCTTCCACCAGATGCTATTCCCTCTCTTCCTGTAAGAAATATTTTTTCGGATATTCATAATCTTCATTGTCATATGATTGTTTACTTTATAATCGTGAAAGGTTCCTTACAGCCCCATGGTGGTAACACTTCATCTGAAGGGGAATCTGCTTTCCGTAAGGCTGAGGATGTTGTGAGCAGCATGTTTGCAAAGGGTTTTGTTCTGGGTAAAGATGTTGTTAGTAAAGCCAAGTCCTTTGATGAAAAACATGGTTTGACATCCACAGCTTCTGCTAAAGTCACTTCTTTCGACAAGAAAATTGGATTCACCGAGAAGGTGAGCACAGGCACCTCCATCGTTAACGAAAAAGTCAAAGAAGTTGACCAGAAGCTTCAGGTCTCCGAAAAAGCCAAATCAGCATTTGCAGCTGCGGAGCAAACTGTCAGTAATGCCGGTTCTGCCATTATGAAAAACAGGTATGTATTTACCAGCGCTGCATGGGTAACTGGCGCTTTCAACAAAGTAGCGAAAGCAGCCTCGGAAGTTGGGCAACAAACGAAGGAGAAAGTGGGTCAGGCAGAAGATGAACAGAAACATAAGATGGTGGACGACTTTGCACAAGTTCATTTATCTGAGTCTCCCAAAGCAGCTTCGGTTCCAACCGAGCAGCAGCCTCCGCCTTCCAAGCCTGCGCCAGTACAAGGTTTGATCCTCTAATCCACATTTATCTGTATATATCGCTTATTGAAATCATATTCCAGTTGTCGTTTCGTTATAAAACTCGATATCATTAGACTACTGCATTCTTTCCATAATATCCTGGTCTATGCAATCTTCATTTTCATGCTTTACCAACCTGTCAACACCCATGCTTATGGAATTTTTTGCATCTTATAAGATTGTGTTTTGTATAACTTAAGTAGATTTTATGTTTATAAATACTTGATTTTGAAGTCAATTAGAGGGTTAAAAGAGGTAACTTCATTCAGGCAGGCTATTTGTTTTTTTTTTTCAAATTTTCAGATGCGCTCATGTCTTATTTACCTCTTATCTAGTAAGAGGTAAACCAACTTCTTATTTATCTCTTATTGTTCTCCAAACCCAATTCCACAACGTTTCTCAATCGGTCCTCACCAAACCGATTCTCACTTCTCTCAATTGATGTATTTTAATGGGATTTAAATGTGTTAATTATCGTTAATTGACCTTTTTTCATTTGAATGAATGTTAATTATATGATTTAGATGTTAATTTCGTAATGATGATGCATAAATATGTAAAACTATATAAGTTTATCTATAAATTCAACACTAAAATTTCCTAACAGGTAAAATAGACAATTTAAACAAATTCAGACATTTATCACTTTATAAAAAGCAACAGTCGATTTGATTCAGGTTTTAGACTTAAGTATTGTCTCTTATCAATTATAAGTGAAATAAGACTTTCGATTTTAACATCTTTTAAAAAACAAATGCAACCTAACTAGAAGCAACGCAAATGATATTATGTGGATGCTGATATACTTGTTTGTAGAAATCATTTTCAATAATACATGATTTAACGTAAATTTTTTGGCTGCAAATGACATGATATAAATTTCTTATCGAGTTTTAGCATGTAAACTCTCAATGATATCCTAATTATATTTTAGATTTTTTATATTTAAAATGAGATGTTTATCTTATTTGTAGTTTGTTATACGAATTCAAACATAAAACCTTGATAAAATGTATTTATGAATAATTTATTTGTAATTTTGAATTTTAAGTAATATGTATCATTAAATGGTACTTCATGCATAAAAAATGTTTTTTAAGTGCTTTATTATATGATACATATATCTATTCTAATGGGTGGGGGTGACAATTTTGTACCAAACTAAACTAACCAACAAGTATATCAACCATACCAATTTAATTGGTATCAATTACAATCGGTTGGTAGTACCATCTAAGTATGCAGAACTTGGCTAGTACATATTATGAGAAGTTGTGTACTATAGTATTGATTTATTTAATTATTTATTAGTTTTTGAAAGTTGTATGTAGTGAATATTAAAATTTGTATTTTGTTTGAATATTTGAATGTTTGCAAGTTTTATTTTATGTAATTAATTTAAAAACTCCTAAACAATCATGTGTTGTAAAAAAAAACTCGTATAATCGCTCAGAATTTGAACTTGACAAATTTTACATTTATGTAACTTGAAGTTGGTACATGACTGTCATCACCCGAAAAAAGTTGGTACAAGATATAGTGGGTTGGTGCATTGTATAAAATTTTACGTACCAATTATAATTGGTCACGGTATTAAACAAAAAAACTATCATACCAAGTCCACCCCTACCTGGCTCATGATAACTTTGAAAACTTAGAGGTCGTTTACTAAATGCTTACCCGGTAAGTGCTTACCGGGCAATTTTCCTCACCGGATGAACATGACAAGGGCCAAAAATCTTACTTGGTAAGAGTGACAATAAGGATGGAGAGTACTACCCGGTAAGTGAGGGTGACGACTCTTACTCGAGTAAGCGCTTGCCGGGTAAATTGTTGCATAATATATCGTTTTGATGTACTGTAATCTTATCCGATAAAAATAAATTATAATGTTGATCCATACTAGTAAGCACTTACCGAGTAAGCATTTGGGTAAACAGCCCCTTAGTCCTCCCGAGTAGAATTTTGTATTTTGTTAAAATTTGATAAAGAGTATTGTAAATATTTGATAAAGAGTCGAACCATTTGTGTGCAGTACATGCAACATGACCAATTGAGAGTGATGACACCTTCTTTTGGTTTTGTTTTATTCAACTTCTCCATCTTGATGCTTGCTTCGGTTTGTCTTGTGGGTTGCTCCCAAATAACATTTATTACAACAAAACGAAACAACTCACCCCACAACCCTTCTCTCCATGGAAATGAAACTAATAAGACCATATTTATAAGAGAAGCCTATGACTCTTAAATTTATGAAATGTAAACCACAAGGATGATGTCTGATTGGTTTGAGCTTGAACTCTAAAGGCCAAAAATGTCTGGAGGTCCCAGGTTCGAATCCTCCTGGTCACGGATGTTCAAATGTTGCGACTCTGGGGTACCCACTTCATTATGGAATTAATCGGTTCGTATAGCGGGTTAGATATCCAGGTTAATAAGAAAAATGTGTGAATTGGATATAGTGTTTAAAACACATCCATTAATATAGATGATCAACATGTCACTTTTTAAAAAAAAAAGATATTATTAAGTTTAACTTTAGAATTATGTAATAAAAATGAATAAAAACTATTATTAATGGATATTTAGATATTCAAAAAAAAAAAAAAGTTTTGAGGGCCTACTTCAAAGGTTTTTATTCTGGAATATTTGATGTTAAAGGAAACATATTAAATTCTTATGTTTAGGTGTCAAAATAAAGCTTTAAAAGTAAATATTTTTGAAAATCAGAATAAAGTTGGTTTGTTTTGATACGATTTGTTGTCTATTATCTAGTTTCTATTAAAATAAATTACATTTTTTTTTGTAACAAATTAAATTTAGAGTAAACTACGGTTTTAGTCCCTATGGTTTTATTGCAATTTTCATCCTTGTGATTTTTGAAATTGTAATTTTCGTCCATATGGTTTGTAATTTATTGCTATTTTTTTGTCTCTCTGGTTTATAATTTATTGTTGTTTTCGTCCATGAGACTAAGGGGGTTGTTTACCAAAATTTATGGTTAAGTGTCGATCGGGATAAGAGGTCTGACTGAGGTAAATGCTGATTGGAAATGTTGTTTGCCAAAATTAATTTTGATCAAGTGCTGACTTAATAAAAATGACCATTATACCCTTTTTTTTTTCTAGGTTAAATATATGATGACAAATGAGTGTTTATGAAATATCTTGTATTATGTGCTAAACCTAAAAAATATATCTGCGAAACCTTTTGTATATATTTTAAATCTTTCAACTTATTAAATTATATTAATACACAAAGAAGAAGAGACGTGTAAGAGGGGGTCAAAGGTTAGTAAGCAACCTTAATCTATTAAAAATCCTTCATTTAATATAAGGGCATTTTAGTCTTTTTCATTTTTTTTCATTTTGGCTTATTAAATATCTTTTTTGGTTCCGTTTTTGGTATTTTAGTCCTTTGATTTAATAAAACTATATGTTTTTTGATAAAAAAAATTAATACATAAAAAAATATATATTATTTTTATTATTGTTTATGATAAAATGATAATATATTTTTCATACCGTTTGTTTTTAAAACAAAATGTCTAATTAATTTTTTGAAATAACATTTCAGATAAATTACATTTTCATATGACATCTCTTTGATTTTTTTTATTTTAGAAACATATACATTTATATGACATTGTTAGAAGAAAATTGCCACAACAACTTTTTTATATGGCATTTCTGAAAAATTACATTTTTATATTCATGACAGATTGTAAGCAATTTGACATGCCAATTAGCACATTATTAGAAGCATTAGTGGTAGAGACAGCTAATGGGGGAAAGTGTTAGTGCGTGAGGTTTATAATGGATGCTCGATTGAAATTGAGGGTATCTCATTTCTAGTTAGCTTGCTACCCATGACAATAGAAGGATTTAATGTTGTGATATGTATGGATTGGTTGTCTAAGCACGAAGTAGATATTTTATGTTCAAAGAAGATGTTTTCTATTTTGGGGAGACACTGTTGGTTTATAGGGATAAGCGAAAGGGAGACATAAGGATCATCTTAGTGGCGAAAGCCCGAAAATGTCTCATCTCAGTTTGTAGGTCCTCAGATTGTACAAAAGACTGCAGACAAAGTCAAAGTGATCCGAGAACGACTTAAAAGGCCCCACAAGATCGACAAAAGAGCTACGCAGATCAGAAGAGTCGACCAAAAGAGTTTCAAGTGGGCGAAAAAGTTTTGTTAAAAGTATCACCGTGGAGGGGAGTGATCAGATTTGTGAAGCACAGGAAACTCAGTCCTCGTTTCTTTGGACCTTTCACTGTGTTGGAAAGGATCGGAACTCAAGCCTACCTTCTAGACTTACCACTAGAGTTACAAGAAGTTCATAACATTTTTCATGTGTGTTACCCACATAAATGTTTGGCGGAAGAAGAAAATGTAATTCTGTTATCTAAAATTCAAATAGATGACAAAATGTGTTATGTTGAAGAACCAGAGGCGATACTAGAACGAAAGACAAAGAAATTGCGTCGAAAGTAGATTGGGTTGGTTAAAGTTCAATGGAAGCATCGTCGGGGTGCAAATGTCACATGGGAACCGGAAGATGAAATGAGAAGGCACTACCCACATTTGTTTCTAGAGACTTAGATCTCGGGAACAAAATCTTCTTTAAGAGGGGGAGAATTGTAACATCCTATTTAAGATTAGATAAAATATTTAGATAAAGAAAATGAAAAAAGAAAATAAAGGTTTTGAAGAGAGAAAATGGGAAAAGGAAGAAGATGGTGATGGAAGACATCTAGGGCTTCAATCTTGCTTTTTTTTTTCTTCATCTAATCGACAAATTAAGGTAAGTTCTTTATGTTTTAGTTTGATTTATATTTGATGTTTAGGTTAGAATTTGAGTCAATTTTTGGGTTTCTAGGGCTCAAAATCAAGTTTTAGCGGTTGTGATGAGAGGAAAACCATGTATATGTGTAATTTCTGTGAGAAACCCAGTTTTATGATGTATATTAAGCCGCAATTAAGTCCAGTGTTTTATATCTTCACTTTGATGCATTAGAACCTACAACCCTTCAAGGATCGGAACATAGTGGGTATTATACATCTTGTTAGTAGAAGTAATTTGTTAGGTAAGTTTGTTTCATGTTTAGAATAGTTTTGAGTTCATCTAAGATGTTCGAATTTTTGCCAGAAATATTAGTCTAAGAGTTA